CCTATGACTGGGGAGTGAGGGGCCTGGACCTTGCATCCTGATGAGTGAAGGGGGCAGGGGGGACTCTGATTTTCCATGATAAAAAACCCAAAATCAAATACCAAATTTTATAGGTATTTAGAATTTATTTTATTATAGTGATTGAAGCATGTTAGGCTTCCAAATTGCTTTAAAATTGTAAATATATGAATAAAACACTGTGTTCAATTGATACCTATATATAGTGGCGTCTCATTTTAATCGCAAATTTGGGTTTTTTATCAGAGAATTTGTGGTTTTATGAGAGAATTTACAATTTTTAAACAGAGAAAACCAGGATCCTTGATGGTGACATTACAAACTATTTAAAAATCAGTTCCTCCTTCACTTACCTGAAAAAAAGCCTGAATCCAGGCCCTGCAATTTCTCTGTTAAGGTTGATTTTTATGTATTTTATGTTCAGCATAAAATACAAAGATTCAGCTGCTAGGCTAGTCAAATAGTTTTGGTTGGTTTTCTAAATATCTCATTAAGAGCATGAAAAGATGCACAGATGGTGTGTATAATCAGGAGACTAAAATGATCTGGCATAAGTAGCAGGCTAAACACTGGGATTTTGTATGAATTTGACCTTTGCATGATAATCTGTAGTTGGTTCATTGTTCAGATCTGAACAATGATACTGAACAAACAACATAAGGATACTTGGGACAGACAAGTAAAGTTTGAGTTCTGAATGTGGTGATAATGCAGAGAAAATCCCTGGAGACAGAGAAAGCTCTGATAAATTGGTGGATCTACTGATGATGTAGTTAATGGGCATTTTAGGGTAAAAGTTATAAAAGTGTCTTCAGGAAGGCCTTCAACACTGCCTCTCACTCTATTCTCATTAAAAAATTTGGGGACTAATTCTCATTAAAAAACTTGTGGCGTTGACACCTACACAGTCAAATGGGTTGCTAACTGGCTGGAGGGCCGCACCCAGAGAGTGGTGGTGGATGGATCATTTTCGACCTGGAGGGATGTGGGCAGTGGGGTCCCCCAGGGCTCGGTCCTCAGACCCGCACTGTGCAACATCTTCATCAGTGACTTGGACGAGGGGGTAAAAAGTACCCTGTTCAAATTTGCTGACGACACTAAGATGTGGGGGGATGCGGGCATGCTAGAAGGGAGGAATAGGCTGCAATCGGACCTAGACAGGTTACAGGGGTGGGCGGATGAGAATAGGATGGGTTTCAACACTGACAAGTGCAAGGTACTGCACCCGGGGAGGAAGAACCAGCAGCATACCTACAGGCTGGGGAACTCCCTTCTTGTCAGTGCAGAGGCAGAAAAGGATCTTGGAATCATTACTGATGCCAAAATGAACATGGGCTGGCAGTGTGGGGACGTGGTCAGGAAGGCCAACCACACCTTGTCATGCATCCACAGATTCATCTCAAGCAGGTCTAAGGAGGTGATCCTCCCCCTCTATGCGGCACTGGTCAGGCCGCAGTTGGAGTACTGCATCCAGTTCTGGGTGCCACACTTCAGGAGGGATGTGGACAACTTGGAGCGGGTCCAGAGGAGGGCCACTTGCATGATCAGGAGGCAGCAGGGCAGGCCCTACGAGGAGAGGCTAAGGGACCTGAACCTGTTCAGCCTCCGCAAGAGAAGGCTGAGGGGGGATCTAGTGGCCTGTTACAAACTAGTCAGCGGGGACCAGCAGGCATTGGGGTAGTCCCTGTTCCCCCGAGCACTACCAGGAGTGACAAGAAATAATGGTCGCAAGCTGGCAGAGGGTAGATTCAGGCTAGACATCAGGAGGCGCTACTTCACAGTCAGGGCAGCTAGGATCTGGAACCAACTTCCAAGTGAAGTGGTGCTGGTTCCTACCCTGGGGGTCTTTAAGAGGAGGTTGGATGAACACCTTGCTGGGGTCATTTGACCCCAGTACTTTTTCCTGCCATGGCAGGGGGTCGGACTTGATGATCTGCTCAGGTCCCTTCTGACCCTACGAACTATGAAACTAGGCTTGGGAGCCTAAATCCTATTTCCAAAAGTGACTCA